ACACACACTCACTCTCTCACACACACTCTTTCACACACACACATACACACACACACCTGCTGTATTGATCACTGAGGGCCAGATTGAGTAACTCAACTCACTGCGTCGTTACGAGAAAAACGCACGCACGCATTAACGTCAGTTACACACATACTCACGATCGCACGTTCGTCTAAAACCGCTGATCTGACACACAAACACAGCGCGGCTCTTTACCGTTTCTCTTTTTCTCTCTCTCGGTGTGTCTCACTGTCCGGTAACGCGAGACGTGCAGCGCGTCGCCATGTTCGCTCGCTCGCGCATGCGCCTGCCGGGACACAGCACGTGGGTCGCTCGCGCAGGCGCAGTCTCGCGCTCAGCATGATTCAACACTTCACGAACACAACTCTATTTAAATAGCCTCAATGAACATGTATTGCCCAATACACTAATCATAACTAAAAACTTCAGGATAATACATAAAGAAGCGCACACGGCAAATGTTGCGTAATCTCATGAATAATTAAGGACGGTGCTCAAAGTCAAACACGTCTGACATGGAAGTGTACTACTGTAAAAAATAATTAATATCAATCAAACTGCAGTTGGGTTGTTTTGATTAAATAACAATAACAAAAAAATACAGCTAACTAACACAAGAAAACAAAAACATGATAACACAATAAAAACATGATTTATGAAAATTAATAAAAACGGAGTTATTTGTTTTTGCAAATAAACTCATACACACACACACACACATGTATATAAATATATACACACATAAAAAAACAATATCTAATAAAAAAATGACAAAAACACAAAACATAAAACACTCCCAACTAAAATGAAAATGAAAATGGAAAATATAAAAATAAAAACAATTTCAAAATATTAATGAAAACTATAATAGTATCTCAATAATACTATAACACCCATAACATTACTTGAAATAAAACAAACTTTAAATAAAATAAAATAAAACATAAAAAACCCTCAAACTTATTTTATTTGAGCTAGTCGTCAAGGCAACATTTCTCATATTCCTTTGTTTAACTTGATACATTAAAATAACTAAAAATAAAATAAAATAAATTTAAAAACTATATAGACATGACAACTAATAAAAATGATAAAAACACAAAACATAAAATTACTAAAACTAAAATAAAAAAAATGGAAAAGTAAAAGAAAAACAAAAAACTAATTCAAAATATTAACAAAAGCTATAAGTGTCTCAATAATATAGTAACACTGATATAAACACAGGTGTTTCTTTGGATGTTGTGAGTCAGACAAGACAAAAACAAAACAAGTGTTTCCTACATTTACACCCAAACACCCAGCGCTGTGACATGATGAGAATCACGTGTGTCTCTGCTGTCAGACGCCATTACTGACCGGTGAATTCATGATCTCACACACACACACACACAC